GGAAGTTTGTGTACGTGCGCTAACAAAAATGAAACATGCGCCACTGACGATTGCAGAATACAGTCAGGGGAAATAGGAAGCAATGGCTACGGGAATAGCATCTCCCTGGACTGTTAACATGGATACGGCGCCATATAGCAATCATGCCCTATAGTTAAAAAAGACAACCCGGAAAAGCGTTGTGTTTGTATCCGTCCTCACCTGCCTGCATCGTGTGATCAAGAATGAGAGACGCGGATACCAGAGAAGGCGTCGCGCAAACTGAGTGTTGAATCCGTGACCCGCTGAGCGCGATGCTGTGTGGCGCAGTTGCGCGCAAGCGCACGGCGGCGAGACAGGGCGCCCGCGAGCCGCGGAAACCGTCCTACGAAAGTATCACCTGCGCTGGCAGCTGATTGATCAATGCGCGCAAATCCAAAGGCCGGGCACACGGATTAATAGCTGCCGAGCGAGCAGTCTCGATTTTAGGCGGGTCTAATTTCAGCCTCCAAACATATGCACACGCCATCGCGGACAGTCTAAATTGCATGAGAATCACTGAAGAACTGCTGCCCGGTCAATCACGCGAAACGAAAGAGAAATCCAACGCACCGCGAAAGTATACAGCTTAGTCATACAGTATTAAGCCTATGCGGCGGCGTGGTGGCTGTGTGTGTGCCGACCACAGGCACTTGAAGCGTTTCATATAAAATATAAATGCAAATAAATACGAAATCTATGTTACTACCAAGTCCATTAATGTTTCTATAGCTCTTCTTTCACCTAATTATTGGGCCGACAATTTCTGTAAAATGCGCGTCACAAATGCTCATCTCTAACAACAAACGCTGGCTGCCGGCCAGTAGCTGGCCGCTGCACAGCTGACATATACAAAAATATAATATTCGTATTTATTTGAGCAGTTATCTACGTTCTTATACTAATAACGTTATTAGCATTCTTATACGTTCAAACTGGAGCCAGGCATGCTGGACAGCACGTGTGGCATGGTAAAATCATGTGATCTACATGCTTCACCTTCGCTCAGCAGCATCGCGCCACATTCCTCAGCTATCTAATCGTATGGGGCAATGGCGCTGACGACGTAAGGTCGCCGTTGACTTGCGCAAAGATAATCTTCTTCCGGGCGTTTTATACGTTCAGAACGTGGAGCCGGACAGGCTGACCAGCAACGTGTGGCATGGTAAAATACTGATATAGATGCTTCACTTACCCTTACGCATCGCGGCCCACGATTCCCAGCTATGCTGAATGTATGGGCAATGGTAAGCGCAATATATTCTAAGATGTTTTTAGTTTTAGTGATAATAGATTTTAGCGAAGCCGCAAGCATTTAAAGTGATATCTGGATGTCTTTACCGGGAATGAGATCATATATTATTGTAACCTGTATATTAATCAAATTTTCAGTTCAATACTGCCTGATGATATCTTGTTTGCAACACTTTATTTTAATTGCGTAAGTTGTTAACACTGGTTTTTGCAATAAACCTATTATCTATCTATCTATCTATCATGTTCAAACGTTTAATGTTAATGCATAGTCTTGCTTGTTTTTCATGAAAGCTGTCAGATTTTTTAAGGCCTTTATTACCACACATAATAACTGTAAACAGGCGTGGAGAAGCTAGAAGCGACACTGACGCCATCTCTGATCAGAATTGAAAGAATGCGCGTGCGTTATCAATGGCACTGAGGCTAGTGTACAGTGATGGGGGATGTTTATTGTTAATGGAATATATAGCACAACAATTTATTATATATTTTATAGGTGTGTGGAAACTAATGCAGTGTGTGGAAGGCAGTCATGGATTTAATGTACTATATCCATCACTATAATTAAATATTCAGAAAATAACAACAGGCGCTATAGTAATATACGTGATTAAATTACGCTATAGGTTATAACTGTTAAATTAGGTAAAAAAATTGTTTTAGTTAAATATCCTAACTATAATGTACACCGATAATAGGCATGACAGAGAAAAGAAAAAAGAATCGACTAGAGAAGAAGAATAAGAAGAAGAGGCATGAGGATTGAGGAGGAGGCAGGAGGAGAGGAGGAGAAGAGGAAGGAAGAAGAAGAAAGGTAAGAAGAAGAAGAAGAAGAAGAAAAGAAGGAAAAGAAGAAGCTAGACGAAGAAAAAGAAGAAGAAGAAGAAGAAGAAAAAGAAAAATAATTAAGAAGAAAAAGTAGAAGAAGAAGAAGAAGAAGAAGAAGAACGAGAAAGAACGAGATGCAGGCGCCGGGCAGAATGGCCAATATATGCGGGCCGGTAATTGCGTATTTGAAAAGTGATTAGGTGTATTATATATATAATACGAGCCTAGTATATACTATGATATCGTAATAAATGCATAAACGGACGTGTAAGCTATTATATGGTCCGTACATGACAACCCCGCACCACATCACAAGACGAAACCTAATATATACACACGTACTTGGCGCGCGGCTGCGCATTCGCAATCCAGCAAAGATCACGTGACTATGGCTTTGAAATAAGCTGCGTTTTGATTCTGGCTTTTGAAATTGCGGCCGCCAACAAAACAAGTTTAAAATAAGAGAGCAATTTTTCGTCTCGTGGTGAGATTGGTGGCGCGCATAACGGAAGCCGCACGCACAGCACGCACGCACGCACCGCATTGCCCACACGCGACACACCAAACACTAACATACACCGCGCGCGCGCGACGCACGCACATCCGCACGGCGCACCGCACGCTCACAAACGCGCACACACGACACAAGCGCACACGCCACAGCCACACACAAACGCGTTGCCATGCGCGGTGCCTAGCTGATGAAATGGCACTTGAAAATTCGTGTTGGTCTAGCATGTACATGATCATATCACGCCGCCCCACACACACGCACACCCCAAGCCGCACCGCCGGCGATCCGCTATTTGTGACGTAAGCAACTCGAGAAATAGCCGTCGAAAGAAATCCAGGCGAAAGCAGACCGTTTGTGAAACTGCGCACCCCGATACATGCCAGAATCAAACCGAGATCGGCAACGAGCAATCTGAACGCAACGCAGAAGAGACCTGCGACCAACACGGAACCTATAGTACTGGAAGACTCTTAGCCACACCCGTCGGAGAAGAGGCATATGAAATTCATGGAAGATGCGTGCTGTTGGCGCGCAATAAGGAGTATACATCGTCACAATCATAATGGCAAACATCAGAACATCAGATTGGAGCTTATCGCTCAAAGTTCATGCGGCAGTGACGAGCAGGGCTAGACGGCTACCGACCTTCACTCAGCGAACTATCGTTGGCTACACTGAAGTGAGTTACCCTAGCGTGTCGAACTGTGCACGGCGCGGCAGTCTACGTCATGCAGCGGAGCTTGTTTTTTAAAAAAAACACGGGAATGATACGTAGATGGACTCGTTGCGCCATCTATGGGTGGCGATAACTTCCAAATTAATGTGAAGGCATAAATCAGCGAAAACGGAAAATTATTTTTCTACACGAAAAGCACGCGCGCCGAGCCACAAAGCAACAAAAACGAGTATTTGCATTTATTCTCGCCCTACGTGCATAGTCGAAAGGCTTCTGGAAGCGCCACAACTGCTCAATTGACCGATAGCAGGCCGATTTGACAGAACCGTTAAAGTCATATTGACAGAGCAGCGATTTGGATGAAAAGGCACCACCAGGTGGCGCTATTCGCGCTTCGCGCGTATATCCGGCTGCAGAATGTCTAGGATGAAAGTAGGTACGAAATACTCACGTGTCAAAATGCGTGCTGTAGGTAGTAGGAGCAGCGGGATATGTAAAATCGCGGGCGCGCTGTCGCCAGTTATATATCGCCTGTGCGATGATCATACGTGTGGCTATAGTTACTCAGTCGTGAAGGACGAGATGGGCAGGCCACACCCGGCTCCTGATTGGTCGGTATAACGACAACGTGATTAAATATCGGCGAATGTAAAATTTTATTTATTTCGAAATTGCCGTGGGCACGTTGGATGGGTGGGTTCCGTGAAGGCTCGCTTCCGTTTATTTTCCCCCTTCACCCATCAAAATCTCATGGCAGGGTCGATCACGTGCTATATACCACGTGCTTAGATCTCAGACGCTCCGACGCACCGTATAAAATCACGTGTTACGCCATAAAAACACCACATAATTATGCGCAACACCTAGCTCGTGTGCGAACGTGGCCCCAGCCGTATCCGCGTCGTGAGGGGATAATAAATTATTATTCCACCATTCCGCCTCGTATTCACGAAGTTTCCACTTCATAGTCCATTGTAGACAACATGTGGCTATAAACTTTCCTACTGTTAATTAAGTGTTCTATTTGATAAAGGAATGTAATGTCGCAGAGAATGTTTAATAAAAGGCCAGGTGGTTAAGAAAGAATCCAAAATAATTAGGCTTGTTTATAATAAGTTCTACATGAGTTTTGTGTAACCAAGGTTTGTTCTCCCGATTCATACATTAACAGCAAAAACGGACTATTATAACAACATCATAAATTATAACATTATAATATGTATATCATAAATATTATAACAATAATATAAAGTATAAACAATTAAAAATATGACGACTAGAGCATTTATCGCGAAAATCACGAATCAGGGTGAAGAACGAAACACGAATCCCGACGAAGCATTTTAAAAATGACGAATATATATATACGGCTTAAATAGACAAAAACCATTGCCCTATGTAGTTCCGTTTAAGTTTAGTAAACAAGGTTTATTCTCCCGATAGGGCCTCACTAATATCTTTAATAAAATCATATTTTCATCGATTTATTTAAAATCGATTTTATTATAGAGATCAGTGTACGGCCTTCATAGACTGGTGCTCGCTCCCACCTCTCGGCTTAGTTACTCGCTGGGCGCGCCAGCGAGTAACTAAGCCGAGAGGTGGGAGCGAGCACCAGTATAGGGCCTTCATCAACGATAGTCACGAATCAGCGTGAAGTACGAAACAGTAATCACGAGGCTAGTCTGCGATGAGGATTGTGGGTACCAGCGTGACCGACGCTGTGTAGGCCGAAATGGCTCTCATAGGATTTATAGCCCACAGCTATCACATCCTGGACTGCCTGCGGGAAAACGAGAACTATTAATTATCATTGTCCCATGCTTCAGTCAAGAATTTACTGGCCGTTCGGGCCACCATAGTGTAGACTGCGAACCCCAGTAAATAAGTATTCTGTATTCTCATCAGGCGCGCATGTACACGAAAATTCAAAAACAGGTAATGCTAAAAGCAGTGTTGCTGGATTATATGGAAACATATTATATATTAGTAGTACTAGTTTGGGAAAGCCCAAGGTAGGGTAGGGTAAAGGTAGAAAAGGAGTCGAAGGCAGAGGAGGTAGAGAGGCCTGCGGGGGTGGGTAGAGGGCATAGAAATAATATAGATAGACTATAGGTTATCGATATTATTTCTATGGTAGAGAGGGAGGCAATGTAGATGATGGGGCGGTAAGACGGAGGAGAAAGAGGGGAAAGGTAAAGGAGATAGAGTAACTAGAAGGCAGTTTATAGCAGAAGAGGAAAGCAGTAGAGGAGGGTAGAAGGTAGAAGAAAGAGAGAAGGCGGAGGTGGCACCTAGAGGGGAGGAAGGGAGGAATGTCAAATCGGTCTAAGTGTCGACAAAAACATAATATGTTATATTATATATATTTATATATATTATCAATACAACCTTACATA